AATACATTTGCAGAACAACATGGCCAAATCTCAAAAATATGTTAAAATAAATCAGACACAAAATATTCCCTACCACACAATTCCATTTATGTGAAATGCAAGAACAGACAAAACTAATCTATGGTACCAGAAGTCAGAAAGTGACTGCCTGAGAAGTGGGGAGGAGAATTGATTGGAAAGAAACACAGGGGATTCTCTGGGTGGGTGGAAATGTTTCATATCTTGTTTGAGTGGTATTTATGTGGGTGAATTCAATGATCAAAATTTGTTGAACTGAATATCTAACACCTTAATACATCATAGTATATTAATTATATATTAATGAAACCATATTGGCAAAAATGAAAAGTTCAGTGGAAAGATTAAGCCTCTAGGTCTAGCCATCAATTTACGGAAAATGCAAAGAACAGAAGAACATGTCAAATGACACCACAGGGAGGCAATCAGCAAAATCTGACTGTGGGAAATACCACAGTTTGACCTTTTTTTTTTTTTTCAACAACAAGTTGCCAGGGTAGAGAAACAAACGGAAGGGAGGAACCTGTAAAAGAGATTTATGAAACATACCAATTAGTCACTTTGTATGAACCATATTTGACCCAAATTTTAAAAAAACTGATTTAAAAGTCTATAGGACAACTGGAGAAGTATAAACATCCAGATATTTGATGATATTAAAGAATTATTATTTTTTAAATGAAATAATGGTATTGTAGTGCTTTGCTCTGTTTCATTTTGTTTTTAAGAGGCCTTTTAGAGATTCATAGTGAAAAACAAGTGGTGGATGGGCAGGGGAATGGTAGGGACATGGATGAGACAAGATTGGCCCTGTATTGGTGAGGTTGAAGCCGGGTGCAGGGTACAACGGGTTTATTACTCTAGTCTCTCTTCTTTTGTATATGTTTGACATTTCCCATAATAAAATACTTTTTTAAAAAATAGACAAGTCAGAGAAAAAACAGAGGAAATCTTCCTCCATCCACCCATCCCAAAAAAGAAAAAAAAGACAGAGGTAGAAAAGAGGGGCCAAAGATAAGAAAAATAAAGGATAAGTTTGGGATTTCAAAAAAATGAGATGAGACAAAATGGAAGGGAGAAAATGATCAAAGAAATAATATGAGAAAATTTCCAGTACAGACAGCCATTGGTTTCTGGGTAGAGGGGCCAGCCAGTAGCCAGCACAGTGGGTGAAAAAAGCCCCACACAGAAGTACGCCATTGAGAATTTCATAGCGTTGGACTGGGCCACAGACCTCACACACCTTCCTATGCTCCTCTACTGCTTGCTTTCTCTCTGGGACAGCTCCCTGACGGCAGCACGTCTGGGCCGAGCTGCAGAATTGGATGAAAGATCATGCAGCGGAGTGTGGAACCTTATTCCCTGGGCAGCTGCTCGTGGTCTGGAGGACATACCTGGCAACATAGACAAATTAGCCCTTTGGGTCGTCTTCAACCAGTGGAAACGGCAGGTGGGAGGGACCGGGCAGCTGGATTCCCCTCCCCCACTCTCTCCTGCGGCTCCTCCTTGGGACCCTTCCAGAAAAGCCCCCGTGCCTGATGAGCCAGCAGCCAGTCTGGCATCACATCCCCCTTCCTGCACTCCTTTTTTCCCTCCACATTCTATTATAAGCAAAGTCGAAAGAATTTCACAGCGAGCACCTGTGAAATACCCACTACCTAGAGTTTATCATAGACATTTTAAACAGCTTTATTGAGGTATAATTTAAATACCATAAAATCCACCCGTTTACAGTGTACTGGGTTTTAGTATATTTACAGAGGTATGAAAACATTACCCCAATCAATTTTAGAACATTTTATTCTCCCCCCTGAAGAAACCCCGTACCCTTTAGCAGTCACTCCCATTCCCCTGCTCTCCCAGCCCTAAGCAACGACTAATCTATTTTCTGTCTTATGGAATTGCCTACTTTGGACATTTTGTATAAATGGAATCATATGATATATGGTCATTTGTGACTGGCTTTTTCTATTTAGCATAATGTTTTCAAGGTCCATATCGTAGAATGTATCAGTGCTTCATTCCTTTTAGTGGCAGAACAATATTCCCTTGTATACAATTAATATCTTACAGATTTGCTTTATCACATCTATCCACCTGCCCACCCTCTATCCATCCATTGAATCCATCTTGTATCTTTTATGTATTTCCAAATAAGCTCACTCCCTTCTTCCCAACCTTGAGCACCTTCGGCTCTCAAATAAAGAGCTCACCTCTCAAATGAAGCTCGTATCGCTGCCCTACACACAAAGGAGGCTGGAGATGGTGCCTTTAGTCAAGTGGCCTCTACAGTAGAAAAAGGCAGGGAAAGCGGAGAGAGGGAGTAGATTTTGCTGCCTTGGCATACAGAGTTTGTCAATCGCATTTACATCTCTCCCTCCACCCCCCTCCCACCATAGTATCCTGCAGATCCTATATTCCAGAAATGCGAAATTCCTTACAGTTCTATGAACACCCCACATTTTTCCTGTCTCCATCCCCTGCACATGCTCATTGCCTACATAGCCTTCTAGGTATGACAGATTCTTCCCTCGTGATTCAGCTCAGCCGTGCCTCTCCTGTGAATATGCCCAGCAAGCGCACACCCGGGTCTCCTTGCTTCACACTCCCATTATGACATTTACTCTACTTTATTGAATTAACCTTCTGACCTCTCTGTCTCTACCAGTCTCCAAATCCTCAAGGGCAGGAGCCAGGCCTTATATGTCTTGGTATTCCTGGAACTCGTTGCAGGGCATGACTCAGTAAATGTTTGCTGCATAATGAATGGAAAACATCTAGTCACCATCTTTACTTTACTGTTGTTTATTTAATGAAAGTTTTGTTGGGCATGCACCAAATGAGACTCTGTGATGAATGCCTGAATTTGGATACAAAGATGAGTAAGACTATACCCTGGGCCTCAGAGGCGCCTACAGGATCCTTTTGTCTGGACAAATGCAAAACTGGACAAGATGCCAGGATGACAGATGTAAACAAGGACTGTCCCGGGCACTCCGGAACATATGGTCACCCAAATTACATACCAGCTTCTCTGAAAGCAGCAGTGCCATGCTGACTCATGCCCAGCCCGTTAGACCCTAGTCACTTCCAGAATGTCCTTGTACAGGCCAATTTTCTTCCTTCATTAGTACTGGAATCATGTATTTTTTTTCATTGTTGTCATCCATGTAGAAATCATCTACAAAATTTCATATTCCTAAAGCATTACATATACAATGCACCTAAAGAACACCTCATGAACAGCTAAACACTTTCCAAACTTTTCTTTAAAGAGGAGGCCTTGCTATGTCACCCAGGCTAGAGTGCAGTGGCTGTTCTATTGCACCACAGCCTCGCACTCCTGGGCTCAAGCAATCCTCCCGCCTCAACCTCCTGAGTAGCTGGGACGACAGGCACACACCGCCTTGCCTGGCTTTTCCAAACTTTTTTGATGTGCTGAAATGCATAGCTGTGATCAGTGCGTGATGCACATTACATATATAGATTTCTTTGTATTAACAATAAACCCTAGTGTGTTGTCTTTATGGATGGGTCTTTGGGTGTTTCCAGCTTGTGACGATTATGAATAGTGGAACTATGAACATCTCAATATAGATTCCTTTTTCTTTCTTCTGAATTATTTCATTGCGGTACATACTCCAAAGTCAAACAATCTGGTTAAAGGACAGGAACCATTTGATACCTTTTATTTTCCATCATTCTCTGTCATATTGCTCTCCTAAAAGTCTGAATCCATTTACAGAGCACATTTATCTGTTTTCCAATCTGCCAATAATTTAAATTATCATTTTTATGTAATAATAGAAGCTATGGTCATTTTAGGGTGTTCTTTACTTGTATTTTTAACTGCTACAGAGGTTATTCTTTGTATTATACTTTAACCAAAAGGAACCATATAGTTTTTGTGAAAATATATTCTAATGTAAATATATACTTTATAATTACAAGGTATGTTGTAGGTGTTCATTAAATATTTGTTGAATAAATAAATGTATTAAAATCACAGGCAGTTATAAAAAGACAAATACTTCATGATTCCACTTATATGAGGTACCCAGAGTAGTCAAATATATAGAGACAGAAAGTAGGATGGTGGTTGTCAAGGGTTGGGGGGAGGGGAATTGAGAAGATGTTGTTTAATGAGTATAGCATTTCAGTTTTGCAAGATGAAGAGCTCTGGAGATTGGATGTACAACAGTGTGAATGTACTTAACACTATCGAACTTACACTAACAAATGGTTAAGATGGTAAATTTTGTGTGTGTTTTACCATTCGCACCACAAGTATACTACCATAAGTATACATATACATGCACATATATATTTAACCCAATGATCATTTGGCATATATAGTCAGTGGAAGTGTGCTTACAATATATAGTCATGCATGTTAAATGAAATTTCGTATGTGGAATTTTCTCACTTAAAATGACAATGTTAATTTTTCAATGCAGAGCCAGACAGGCAGAGATGTGTGATGTTAATATAATTACATAGCAAATAGAGTAAGAAATGTCATAGACTAGATAATACTATATGAACATTCAATATTAGTAATAAAGTGCTCAATCTTAAAAAATTCATATTATCTATGAATTTAAAAAAAGAAGCAGAGCTCAGGGGATGTTAGAGATATCCACTTGAACCTTTCATCTTAAGGACGAGGGGAGGAGACCAAGAGGCTAAGTGATTTTCCCACTTCAAGGGCAGCCACATCTGTTCCTTTTATAATGACCTCAGCCAACAGCTCTTTGTCTCATTGGCCAGAATGGATCACATGGCCTCCCCAGCTGCGCCAGAGGCTGCTGGGAAAGCAGGGAAAGAATAGGACAGATACATTGCCACCCCAAACAAATTCGGGTTCCCTGAACAAGGAAAAAAAAGGGAATGAGTATTGAGTAGGCAACCAGCGTGTCTGCTACACTCACCTTAGTGTTTTTGTTTTGTTTTGCCTTGTTTTTTTCTTTGGGATGTTATAGGCTGGAACCAATGGTTACATGGCTCCTGAAATCCTAATGGAAAAGGTGAGTTATTCCTATCCTGTGGACTGGTTCGCGATGGGATGCAGTATTTATGAAATGATTGCTGGACGAACACCATTCAAAGATTACAAGGAAAAAGTCAATAAAGAGGATCTAAAGCAAAGAACTCTGAAAGAGGAGGTCAGATTCCAACATGATAACTTCACAGAGGAAGCTAAGGATATTTGCAGACTCTTCCTGGCTAAGAAACCAGAGCAACGCTTAGGAAGCAGGTAAACTACCATATAACAGAGACGGTTGCTAATGTCAGCATTGTCCACAGTGATCTGGAGAATATTTTAGATTTGTGGCAAAGTCTTGGAATTTCCTTTTATTATTTGCATATTATATGACTAAATATTTCAAACACTATGAGCACTTGACATGGAACAATTTCCAAGATATATTTTAAAGTGAAAAAAGGAGGTGCAAAACAGCTTGCATTTAAAGAAGGAGAAAAAGAATACATAATTCAAATAGTTGTATAGAATATCTAAGGGGAGTATACAAGGAATTTATAAGACTGGTTACTTCTGATGGAGGGAAATTGGGGGCTGGTGACGGGGATGCAAGTAAGGATTTTCCATGTATATCCCTATTGTCTTTTGAATTTTGAACCATGTGAATGCATCATCTATTCAAAAATGATTAAAATGAAAACTTTAAAACAGCACTGATAGTCATAGGTCTGGAAAATTCTGCCCCTTCCAAATGTCTCCCATAAAATATCATCAATCATTCAACAGATATTTATTGAGTACATATGATGTTGCCAGCTGTTAAGTACAATGAAAATTTGTTTTGGGGAAAACCAAATCTTATTGCTTATGATGGAATAACAAGATCAATATATTCTATTGTCAAGAAAAAATAAGTTAAAGCTGACCTGTGAAAAGACCCTTGGCAGTGGGTGACAGTGTTATATAGGGAGAAAACTGAGAGCTTTAGATTTACAAACATAAATTCATGTCCCAGCTCTGCTATATATTGAACATTTTACCTCAAGCAATTGAATTACTTTCCCTGAGTCTCAATATCCTTGTATATAAAATGGGGGGGTGGTATGGGTGTAATGGTTAATTTTATATGTCAACTTGGCTAGTCCACAGTACCCAAATATTTGGGCAAACATTATTCTAGATGCTTCTGTGTAGATTTTTAGATGAGATTAACATTTAAATCAGTAGACTTTGAGTAAAGTAGATTACCCTCTATAACATTGGTAAGCTTTATCCTATCAGTTGAAAGCCTTAATAGAAAAAGACTGATCTCCCCAGAGGAAATGGGAATTCTGCCAGCAGACTACCCTTGGGTTCAAATTACAACTCTTCCCTGGGTTTCCAGCCTGCTGGGCTACCCTGCAGACTGGACTTGCCAAGCCTCAGCAATTATGTGAGCCAGTTTCTTAAAATAAATTTCCTCTCTCTCTCTGTCTCTCTCTCTCACCTCTCACACATTGTCAGGGACGAAACACTTTCTCTCCTTCTTATGTTCAGATCTTGGGGACATGCAAATTAAACTGACAAAAGACAGATTAGCAAGAGAAAAAATAGATTTGTCTGCACCTCCCTAGGTGGGAGTTCACAGAAAAATGTGACTAGAAGACAGAATATATGCCATCTTAATAGAGGAAGGGGAGGGGGAGAAGGGCACTGAAGGGAAAACAAATGACTTCTTGGGGACAGGGGAGAGAGAAAGGACACTTAATTTTTGCTATTAATTTTTGACCTGATTTTTTAAAAATAGCCAAACAAAATTCATTTGTTAGTAACTTTCAGATCACTTCAGCTCAAAATAATTTTTTTTCACAGTGGTGCACCTGGATCCCTTCAACACCATGTTGGTTCTGTTTCTCACTACCGCCCTAACAAATACAGTGGGATGTTTTGAGGTTTAGATATATATGTAAAGGTAGATAAAATGTGTGTTGGGAATTATTCAATAAGTGATTGCAACAATTATTAATTTGTTCTAATGGAAATATCAGATAATATTTTGACTAAACTATGAGCTTGAATGTCTTAAGTTACTTGGATTGAATTGTTAAAATCTAAAACATATATATTTAATACAAATATAAAATCTATAACCAGAAAGTACTATTACTGATTTTGAACATAACTCTAGGACATAGTCAAATGACTCTAAATCTTTCAAGTAATTGCCATTGTAGGTTTTGGAAGAAGACTATAGAAGAGCCTTAGCTCAAAATATTCAAGCATGCAAGCAAGCTATTAATTTTTGATCTGGTTTTTTAAAGATAGCCAAACAAAATTCATTTGTTAATAACTTTCAAAACATGACAGATAACCAAACTAACTAGTGAGTATTTTGAAATTAGACAGAACTCTACATCTATATTATGTGGAAGCAAAATATGAAACTAATTTTCCTGCATGGATTCCAACATGGTATTAGTAAGGTCAGAACAGACTATGTTGTGATAACAAGCAAACCCCAAAGTCTCAGCAGCTTAAAATTTTTTTTTTAATTGCTTTTCATTCATACGAAGTCCACTGTGGGCCCAGTGGCTCTCTGGGCCATCTCTCTTCCAAGCAGAGACTCAGGGATCCAGGCTGTTTCCATCTACACTACACTGTGACTTCTGGCCACAAGTGGTGGTGGCAGAAGAGAGAACACAGAGAACTTATGGAGCTTTTTACTGCCTCAGCCAGGAAGTGACACACTTTACACGTCACTTCACACACGCTTCTATCGACTAGAACTAGTCCTCAGGTTTGCCTAAGAGCAAAGGAGCTGGCAAGTGTTGTCTTCTGTGTGCCCAGGAAGGAGAGGCAAACAGAATACGGTGACCGCAATGATCACTGCCATCTCCGTCCTCTTGGGCCTCAAGTTCAGGGAGTATCAGCAGGCACACGTGCAGTGGCAGAGTCAGCAGGGACGCGAACGGTCTCTTTAGATGACGCCCCTGAAAGGAACATCGCCCACTCGGATGCTGTAATTCACATGTTTGAAAATCCATCTCAATACTCTATAAGCACACCTTGGGTTTATAAAATGAAACATTGACAAACTTCTTCAGGAAAATGCCACCTTAAAGCACTGGATCTTTGCCTGAATCTGCTTCATCAACCAAAGCCTTTTTAATAAAGCATCTGGTGCGACTATTTCGAATAAGACTGTTTACATTAGAGAAAAGGCATATAAAAAACAGCTGTTGGCCAGGCACACTGACTCACACTTATAATCCTAGCACTTTGGGAGGCCAAAGTGGGAGGATTGCTTGAGGCCAGGAGTTCGACACCAGCCTGAGCGCCATATCAAGACCTTGTCTCCACAAAAAATAGAAAAATTAGCTGGAAGTGGTGGCACATGCCTATAGTCCCAGCTACCCAGGAGGCTGAGGTGGGAAGATCCCTTGAGCCCAGGAATTTGAGGTTGTAGTGAGCTGTGATCACACCATTGCAGTCTAGCACTGCTGTGAGTAAGACCTCATCTCAAAAACAAACAAACACAAAAACACAAAAAAAGCCCAACTGTTCAGTGAAAGAGAAAAGCTCCCAAAATTTTTATTCTAACTCTTCGTATTTTTTAAGAATTTATTCAACTGAGATAGTGTTGGATTAAGGTAGTGGGTATCCTCAAAAGCCAAGGCCTCGACAGCATGTTACACAGCATTTGAAATGAATTAAAAACCATTCTCCTTCTTTAGACAGCACTGGAAAGGATTACTGTCTTTGCCTTTATGGGTCTGGGAGTTAATTTTGCAGAGAAGCCAAAAGCTTTTCTGAGCATTTTACAGGGGCTCTAGACGGGGTCAACTATAATGTGTTCCAAAATAAATACATATTTTTTTAAAATAAAAGATGAAGACCACTTAAGTTTTTTATAGAGTTGACTCTGGTCGGTCAACGCAGCAGAGCAAGAGCAAATAACCATGCAAGTCCGTGACTTAAATGCTTCTCTGACACACGATTTCATGCCAATACCCGTTGTTCTTGACAGACCAAATCGTAGAGTGTGGTCTTCATGTATGAACAGGTGGCATCTTGGCTTCAGTGGCTATTATGAGAAAATCCATCGTAATCTCTGTGTGGGGTTTGATAACAGAAGAGCCTCTGTTAATGCTTGGAAATATATTCCTCTCTAGCAAACAGAAGTCTTCCTTGCAGCTGCCAGTTTGGCTATTCCAATAGATGCTGCCTCCCTCAACAGCCTCTCTTATTTGTCTAACGTGCACTGCACAGCAATGGGCCAAAAGAGCCCTGTGCAAAACTGCTGGGAGAAGATTCAAGAGTAAAATAATCCTAGTGCTATTTCAACGACAGAACTGTGATGAGAGTTGCTAGTGCCAAAGATCAAAGTGATAAGCTTCGTGGTAGTCCAGACACAAGAGTGAGGAATAGAGATCAGAAAGCCTGGTCTTCATTGGTAGCACCCGCAACCACAGACATTTCTTGGGAAAAGGTAGAAGATATGGGTCCTGCGCTCCAGGCGCATCTACTGGGGTTGCTGAAGAACATAAAGAAAACCTCGAAGTGGTCCATGGTTCCCTGGTCATCCATGATTAGTTGCAAAAGGGCTGCAGTCAGCCATCTCTGATGGACAAACCAAGACCACCTGCACCTGGCGTGCTTGAGATGCTATTTGAGAACTGCCCATCCTGATGACTCCCAAGGTTGCCAAGCTCCTGGGCACTCTCCATGTTAAAGCTGTTGAGAGTGACTTTTAAGGGCCCCTTTGACACTTGGGTCTGTGTGTGTGTTCCTGCCAGCGGTCATGGAAGTGATACAAGATCCTTCCCTGTGGCACCTAGTCCCATTCCAGTTCCTTCATTCACTTTGAGACATACGGGTGTAGGGCTCATTCCTGATCCACCGGGATGGAATTCTAGCTCTATCCTTCTTCTGCAACATTTGAAATCCATCTGACACCTTAGAAAGGTGAATGTTTCTGTGCAAATTATACCTCAATAAACCTGACTTTTAAAAAATCTATCTTTGAAACTTCAATTTATCTTAGTAACCCTCCCTCTAGGCTCTTAAATCTATAAGATGTAGACCACACAGAAATGGGGCAGGAGGTTCTGGTAGCTGGCAAGCCTGCACTTTCCTTTCATTCAGTGGATGGAACTTGGTGGCTTTTGGAAGAAAGGAGATACTTAGTAGCACCTCTTGATGCAGCTCTCCATACACAGTGGGGACAGTCCAAGAAGTTCTAGTCGGACCTTTCTGGATGGGGCTAGCCTAAGTCACAGAACAACGACCTGACGGGTGGCTGGACATCAGACGCCTCCAACTCTTCCTCTTTTCCATAATAAAATTTGATTACAATTCTTCCTTTGAAACAGTCATCTATTTTCTCTGGCTTCCTCAGATGCCCAGCTATTTATAAATGCAGAAACAAGTAAAGAAGTTAAAAATATTTCGTCACCACTCACTCTCCAGGCTTCTTCGCTGCTGGCATAAACAAGCTACTGTTAAGATGGCAAAACTGTGTCGATAGTTTAGGCGCATACTGTGATGAATTGTACTGCTTCTCATTTGAGATGTAATAAACTACACTTTTGATTTGAAATCGGACATTTCATACTGAATGACCTAATACAGGCATGAGAGACAGAGAGGGTTGCTGTGCTAGTTAAATGTAATAATGTAAGTGAAGAGCTGACCGTTCTGCTACCTGAGAATAGGCCCTGAACAAATGTTAGTTGTCCTTATTTCTGTCATCAGTTGTGTCATTATTGTGTTTAGCCATAGTCATCCTCCTGGGCAGAGTCTGTTGTAGTTATCACCCAGCACGGGGGAGTCTCTGAAGAGGATATGTGGGGGAAGCTCTCAATCCTTTTCCAAAAAGCTTTCTGGCATCTGGAATGACAAACATCAAGGAGAGACTATGAATGTGATTAATTTCTATTAAGGTTGATTTATGACAGAAATTGACTTCTTTCAAAAGGAAGACATTTCTTAATCAGAACAGGAAATCTATTCACATTTTTAAAAAAGAAAAATTCATCTTGAATCTGATACCCCTTTTTATTTTGCAGACCCCTTTTTATTTTGTTAAAGCCTGGCATTAAAAGGAACCAAGAGAAGCATGTTAGGCAGCCTCTAAAATGGTTCCCGGTGATCCAGGTCTCCGGGCATTCACGCCCATGTGGAACCCCTCTGCCTTTCATGTGGGCTACACTTACTGACTTGCTTCTGGCAAACAGAATGTGGCAGAAATAATAAGATGTCACTTCCAAGATTAGGTTATAAAAAGACTGTGGCTTCTGTCTTGGGTGCATGCAAGCTTCATCTCTTTCTTTCTCTCTCTCTCTCTCTCTCTCTCATTCACTCATCATTTGCCTTGGGAAAGTCACATGCAATGTTATAAAGCAGTCCTGTGGAGAGGCTCATGTGATGAGGTATGGAGGCTTGACGATAACCACATGAATAAGCTTGGAAACAGATCCCCCGACCTCAGTTGAACCTTCAGACGAGACCACAACCCTGGCCAACAGCTTTACTGCAACTCCACAAGAGACTTTGAGCCAGAGATACTCAGTTAGGCCATGTCCAGATTCTTGACCCACAGAAGCCATGAGATAATAAATGCTTGTTGTTTAAAGCCACTAAATTTGGGTGCGATTTGTTACATGGCAATAGATGACTAACATGAGAGGTTACACAGGAACATACTTTTTTCTGTTATTCTGAGGCAGATACGGGAATAATTTCTAGCATAGGGGAGGAGGGCTTGATAATAATAACCATAGTCTTGAGCACCAAATGTATGCTCATTTGTACTACTGCAAACTACTAATGGATTTTTTCAAAGTCTTTAAAGAAATACCACCCAGATTACTGTGGCAGCTGGGGAGGTGGGTTTGGCTTCTAGAAATCATATCATGCTATGAATGAGGAATATGAATGCTGTCTTTTAAAATGTGAGTGGTGGGGAGGGAGGAGAAGGTGAGGCTGGAAAAAAAAATTAAAAAATAAGAAAAAAATGAGAGTAGTGGTTGTTTAGAACAAAGATATACTTAACTTGTTCTGTGAAGAGGCAATAACTAGAAGCTGCAGCAAGCAGGTTTGGCTCCATGGAACTTTCCTGGTATTTCCATGAAACACCAAGGTAAAAGTCATGTCAAGTGTTTGACTTTTAAAATTACTTGTATATGTGAAAGCTGTCTGCAAACAAAGAAAATGCTACTATTTATGTATAATGGAATTTGAGGTGATTTTAAAAGTTATTATTTTTCAAAGTTATCCTTTATGTCATTGTATTGTCTTTGTCATTAAAATGTAATGTATTCTAAGAAAAGAATGCCGCACACTTTGTATTGTTAGAACATTTCCTACTTTGGTTTGCTAACTATGTCTCAGGCTGATCATCTCCTTTCTTCACAGAGACAAGTCTGACGATCCCAGGAAACACCCTTTCTTTAATACCATCAACTTTGCTCGCCTCGAAGCCGGCCTAATCGAACCCCCATTTGTGCCAGACCCGTCGGTGGTGTATGCCAAAGACATCGCTGAAATTGACGATTTCTCCGAGGTTCGGGGGGTGGAATTTGATGAGAAAGATCAGAAGTTCTTCCAAAGATTTGCAACAGGTGCTGTCCCCATAGCGTGGCAGGAAGAAATTATAGAAACAGGACTTTTTGAGGAATTGAATGACCCCAACAGGCCCACAGGTCGTGGGGAGGGTAATTCCTCCAAGTCTGGTGTGTGTTTGTTATTATAAATAGGCAGGCAGCAGAAGTAACCAAGCAGGCAGCAGAAGTCTCACTGACATAATCCTCAAATGTTCCTAACCCACGGAAATCTGTTGAAGGAGGGACATCGCAACCACAGAACAGTTCAGAGAGCAGGAAAGCTGACTGCTAGGACATGTTTTCTTTTCTTTTTCTTTCTTTCTTTTTTTTTTCATAAAGATGAATAAAATCTCAGTTTTCACCGAAGGCTGGCAAAAGGAACACTCAGGTTTATTTTGATAAATTAAAAGCATGAGCCCTCCACCATCACGTCCCTGGGAATTACGCAAAGTCCTGGGAACAGAGAATGGAACTTTGTGGTGTACCCAGAAAATGAGCATTTGCAATCCTTAGTAAATAATCATTTTAGTTTTTCTTTGTTTATATCCTTTCTTCCCTTCATCTTTTGGTATTTCTTTTACTTCTGTACTTATAAAAAGGATTTTGAAGCTGGAAATAAACATTCCTGATGTCCCCTTAAAAAGGAGTGGATTGCAATATTTTAGATTACAGAATAATTTTCAATTTCACTCATAGTTTCTTTTTCATGTTTTTGAAATGGTTTGCTATCATAATGTTGAAGGATTTTAGATGTAAATATCCATGAAGTCTGTGAATTAAAGCATTCTGTAAGCTTAGTTGAGTCCTTTAAGTATTATAACATGCTACAAATTGCTTACTTGTGCAAATACCATATGCCGTTGGTTCCTAAACTTTGCTGAACTTTGGGATCACCTAGGGATCTTTTAAAATACTAATGCGTGGCTCCCAATCCTGGACATTCTGATCCCCACCCTCAGGTATAGGGTATAGCATGGGCATTTTGATTTTCAGAAGCTCCCCAGGTGATTCTAATGTGCAGCAAAATTTGATAGACACTGCCATGTATTAAAGACGTTTAAAAGTTACTACACGTGGGTCCTTATTTTGATTGCTCAAAACTTCAATCATACATTTTGATGGTAACTATTCAAATATCCCCAAAGCATGTAATTTTAGCAACTGCAGTGTAAATGAAACTGAAGACAATCTGTATTCATCTTGTAGATTCCTCTTGTCCTTGCATACTTTAGTTCCTCACACATATCTTGGGAGCTGGATCTCTTGGCTACTTCAAGGCCTGAAGGAGACATTTGGGCTTAGAAATTGAGTTCAACAAATAGTAGGCCCCATTTCAAGAGGCTGCCCAGCTGGCACTGTATTGTAGAATATTTCTCAAAAGCACAGCCACAGTGAGAATCCTAAGTCTGCAAAAAATATTTGGGACACAAACATAAATCTGGGTGATATATTTAAAAAGAAAAGATATATGTGTGCATAATGAAATCTCATTTGTCCCATTGGTGAAAAACCTGGCTGAAGTCATTTTAAAAGTCTCGTTCCTTGGAGTAAGGGATGACAGAGTTGCAAATATACTGGCCAAGAAACTTTTGGTTAACTAGAATCCAACTAACAGAAATACTCATCTACAAGACAGCATTAATCATATCTGGCCGAGTGAGATGAGCCCCTCCGGGAGTTGAGGTCTGGCCTGGTGTACATGCCGCCCACTCTCTCACTCCTGCTCCATCCTCAGCGTGCTTCCTGGTGCTCCAAATCCTGACCTGGAGAGCTGCACAGTCCTCACCAAAGCGGGATACAGTTATTTTGTGCCCAGTAGATTCTTTTTCCTAAGGCAAGAAAGTAAATTAAAAGTTGGTAAAATCTTGGTAAAATTTCTAACAAGTCTATTTTAAGAAAAAACTGATTAACAGTGAACAAAACTCCAGTTAACCAGAGCATTTCAATAGTAGAGTTCTCAGGATTTGGCTTCATAGACATTAGAAATAAAAATAACATCTTGCCAGGATCAGTGGCTCATGCCTGTAATCTCAGCACTTTGGGAGTCCGAGGCAGGAGGATCACTTGAGGCTGGGAGTTCAAGAATAGCCTGGGCAACATAGCAAGATCCCATCTCTACAAAAAAATAAATAAATAAAATAAAAACTACATCTTGTTTGTCAATTATGCCTTAACAAAGTTGGGGGTGGGGAACTAATATAAACTAATAATTAAAGACAAATAGCCCAATTTAAAATGGACAATAAACTTGGAGAGACACATACACACAATTTCTTTTTAATAAAAATAATGTCTTCTTGCACTGGTTCCTTAAGGAGAATTTCTACTGCTTTCAATAAATTTTAAATCTGCTTCATTTCTTAGAACTAACTCAGGAAAATAATTGAATAAATAGTAAATAACTGTGTAAGTAGTGAAGAAGTGGTAAGTAACTATATAAGTAGTCAATAACAATCCCCAAGTAAGTATGTATTGAGGTCTAATTATACAATGAGCCTCCCACTAGGTGGTGTTGGGGACACCACAAAGAAATAAGACAACCATGTAAGAAAGGTAACTGGTATAAAATGTGAATGCAGACTCCTGCTGGTGTTACTATTCACATTTTAAAAGAGCAAACCAAGGCTCATAGAAGTTTTGTATCTTGTGCAAGCCCCACAGCTTTGCAGTGTTGTGAAGACTGGAAAGAATGTATATGAAGCACATAGCAAGTGACATGCACGTAGAGAGGCATTAACTAACTGAAGACTCTAACCAGCAAGTAACTACAGGTTGAGAGGAAATGATTCAAGGTCAGGGAACAAAACGAGTAAGGGCTGAACCAGGCCACCTTAACAAAAAGTTTCAGAGGAAGTAAGAGAAGGAAGAGAGCTGGATCCCAGGAAGTGGTTGAAAGGGAAAATTTTCACGCACAATTAAAGGAAAATCTAATTAGAATAAGTGGGGACATCAGGGCCAGAGGTGACTCCCAGGCCTCTTTGTCATATGCCAGGTGGGGAACCACGTGGGCCAAGTCAAAGTGAAGGAGGCTCATCTGGAACTTGGGCAGGGACAGGCCGGATCGGGGAGATTAAACACTGAAGATGGAGAGAATGCAAAGGACAGATGCAGGTCATGGGTGGGATTTAAGGAAAGACGTGAATAAGATGCAGCCGGATGTCTCATCCAAAGAAGGAAGTGATTTTTGAAAAGATGATGCTCGCTTATTTTTAAAAAGTTAAAATGAGCGTATGTTTTTATAGAAAAGTCCAATAAACATAATGAAATGTCAGGGGAAATGAAGACATATAGGAGTTAAACGTTTAGACAAAGAAGAACCGGGGACAAGTCATTTTTATTCTTTCAGTTTGTCAGTGATTATTTTGAATGTTTATTTCTCAAAGGAGTAGATAGATCCGAGAAACTACTGGCAGGGGCTTAGAATGGCCCTGCAAAGCAGAAGTTATAGATGATGCTTTTGTAGGAAATAGTGATGATGAGTTATTGACTTTAAGATTGCAAGCCACAAAGCGTTAAAAAATTATTCTCGATTTTTGTTTTGAATATAAATTTTATTTATTATTATTTTTTTTGAGGCAGGGTCTCACTATGTTGCTCAGGCTGGTCTCGAGCTCCTGGCTGCAACCTATCCTCCCGTCTCAGCTTCTCCAAGTGCTAGGGTTACAGGCGTGAGCCACCATGCCCAGCCCCTGAATATGAATATTAATATTTCTCATTTAGGTGACCAGACATGAATGTGAAATAATTCAATAATTTAAACCTTGCTTCTTAGAAATTGCTAGAGCCATGTCTTTTGAAATCATGACAATCTACCAGAACAATTTTTAAAGATCATTATATTGTATATATCATTAGGGCAGTTTAGTAATAAAACTTACGTAAATTGTTTAGACAGTAAAATGTGATGAAAATTAATTAGTGAAAATAAATAATCCTTGCTTCTTTTTTTTTTTTGAGACAAAGTCTCACTGTGTTGTCTGGGGTAGAGTGCCGTGGCATCATGCTAGCTCACGGCAACCTCAAACTCCTGGGCTCAAGCGATCCTCCTGCCTCAGTCTCCCGAGTAGCTGGGACTACAGGCATGAGCCACCATGCCCGGCTAATTTTTTTTCTAT